TATCTAATGCTTAAATTTACAGCCCCTAAAAAAAAAAAAAAAAAAAAGTAAAAAAACACATCTGATGCACATTATTTATTCATAATTTTGTAGAAGTAGAGTTACAAATATTTTGCAAGATGGGAATTCATAATTACGACTTCCCAACTTGTAAATACAAACCTCAAAAAATGTAGAAGTGAAAGCTCAGGTCTCGCAAAGCCTGTCAAGAAATGTTTGACAACAAAACTAGGACCATTAAGGTTTTTTTTTTTTTTTTTTGCAACTGGATTATTTCCATGACCCTAAACACATTTTAGCCCCCAGACCTCATTACAAAAATGTGCTGTGATATTTTAACTTTTAACATTTTAAATGAAATACCCTCATTACCACAATACAGTATTTTTTTTTTTAAAGATTTTTAAAGTCAAGCATTAAAAGGCAGGAGAACACATACTAGATAGATGTGTACATATTTTTTAAATAATATATAATTTTGTCGGCTCTGATAACCTTGTGGTTAGTGCGTTGACATATGTGACCCTGGAGCACAAAAGCAGTCTTAAGTCGCTGGGGTATATTTGTAGCAATAGCCAAAAATACATTGTATGGGTCAAAATGATTGATTTTTATTTTATGCCAAAAATCATTAGGATATAAGTAAAGATCATGTTCCATGAAGATATTTTGTAAATTTCCAACCGTAAATATATTAAAACTTAATTTTTGATTAGTAATATGCATTGCTAAGAACTTAATTTGGACAAATTTAAAGATGATTTTCTCAATATTTAGATTTTTTTGCACCCTCAGATTCCAGATTTTCAAATAGTTGTATCTCAGCCAAATATTGTCCTATCCTAACAAACCATACATCAATGGAAAGCTTTCAGATGATGTATAAATCTCGAAAAATGGACCCTTATGACTGGTTTTGTGGTCCAGGGTCACATATAATGCCTCGAGGTCTTTTGCCGATCCCACTTCCCTCTCTCCACCCAACCTTTCCTGTCAGCTCTCTACTGGCCTCTCCCATTAAAGGCATAAAAAGTCCATAAATATTTCTTTAAAAAAATAAAATGCTATATGGTTTTTATTTTAATATTTCATTTTTTTTGGAGTCAAATGTGACATTCTCCGGAAAGGTTTTGTAAAAATCATTAAAACTGCCATTAAGATGCTAACAGATAGCTTTCTTCTGTTATATGACCTTTTCTGGGCAGTTTTATAATAATTAGATTAGTGATTCTGAGATCTGAAACAGCTCAAGTGCATAATGTAATCAGATAATTATTAAAACCATTAAATTTAAAATCAATCAGGGGTTTGGTTCATTGGTTCTTTATTCCTTTGCAAAACATCTAGTGAAAAAGAAAACAGATGCAAAAATAGAACAGATCAGTAGAATGACAGCATGAAACAGGCGCAGACTGGATAATTTTATCCGACTGGTCAGTTCCAATGATACTTATTTTCTTTGACATCGTCAAATGACAGTGAAAAAATGACTACAGGAGTAACAGTGAGTCTAGATCACAGACATGATGTGTCACACTGTGTACATGAGTGAACAGCCGGATGAGTCAGCGGAAGTATGGTCACTTGTGTTTCTTCAATAAGCATGGTTGGCCACAAACAGAGACTCTCCCGCTGCTGCTGCGGTGTCTCCTTTGGAGACATATTTACCAGCGGCTGCTGCGCTGTTGTTCTGTAGAGGAAATTGACACATGAGATTAGTGAAATACAGGAACAGTGAGATCATGGATGTCAAAAATGTTTGCACAGACGCATCGGCCGAATAATTAACGTTTCATTGTGTAAGGTTGTTTATGTACTATGGCTCTCTTGACAAATTCCTCCTGGCAGGCCTTGCCATTCTCCTTCTTGCCCCCCCAGGCTTTCAGTGCGGAGGCTTGCAGGGCACGACCGTAAGAGAAGGTGAGGGCCCAGGGTTTGCTTAGGGGACACTGGTTAATGGCGCTCAGATTGATTGAGGCCTCCTCCTCACTCTGGCCTCCGGACAGGAAGGTAATGCCTTTTAGAGCAGAAGATGGTAGACATTGGAGTTGTGATCTTTGAATCGATCAAACGTTGAACTACATGATGTGTCAATGCAATGTGTAAAAAAATCTATATTTTTTTTACATATTTATGAGATATACTAGAAGACTTGTTTGTTATAAAAATGTCAAATTGTCACTGAGCGGTCATCGGATTTTAGATTAGTTAGAAATTTCCATTTTTAATATTTATTTATCTGTATAAATGTTCTTTTCACCTCATTTTGTTGTGTATGCCCTAATGAGGATATTTTCTGATTTTCAAAAAAAAACAAAAAAAAACTATTTGTTCTGGATGTCAGGATTTGCAATTTCAAATAGTTCATTTATATGTTTGCTATAATGAGTTAAAAAAAAAAAATGAAGTGTTCGTGCTTGAATTAATATTGTTGGTTTACTTGGATATTTAAATGATCTCAACAAATTTTAAGTTGTTATTACTTACTGCAGCAGCATGTTTACAGTGCATAATATCAATATTAATATACATATCGCTGAATCAAATCACAATCGTATCGTGCCATGTTTTGACGTTTCTACAAATATTGTATGGCTGTCTAGGAGAATCAATGTCAGGCTGTATCGTCATAAAACGTATGATTTATATGTGTAATTTATAGTCAAATTCAATTCAGTTTGCACAGAGATTTTTATACAAAAAAAATTGGCATTGTGGGAGTAACACACAAACGAAGATAATCACTGCGTTACATTCTGAAGGTCTTATCACTACAACCCTTCAATATTGTGGCCATGATTATTCCGAAGTGCCATTCGAAGGGGGATTTAGCAGAATGAAGAAATAGTGAATCTGACTCACCGGGAACGGCAGGGGGAACAGTGCGACGCAGGGCGGTGACAGTTGCCATGGCAATTTCTTGAGGGGCGTACTTGTGGGAGCAAGAGTGACCGGCGGTCACCATGTTGGGTTTTAGAAGGGTTCCTTCCAGGTACACGTGGTGGTCTGACAGAGCCTTGTACACAGCTGCCAGGACCTTCTCCGTCACATACTGGCACCTCTTCAGATCATGGTCACCATCAGGCAGGATCTCAGGCTCCACAATGGGCACGATGCCATGCTGAGAAAGACAACAGCAACCAATATATGTGAATTGTGACACCTTGCGTATGTGAATACTTTAAGTCAGGTCACAGACAGCAGGGAAAAAAACAAAAAGTATAAATGCAACACAATACAAATATAGCCATGCAAAAAAAGAAATGGTAAAAACGTTCAATATATTTTCTTGTTTACGTCAACAAATGCATCACAAACAAATTACATCACATATTAACTATAATTATTAAAGGTGCATTCAATAGTAAGTTTAACACATTAAGAAGCAAATTATGTTTTTGTGAATAGTATATGCTCAAATGAGATGAAGAATGCATTCATAATAGTTTATGAATGCCCCATTTATTGTATTTCGCCATGTTTAAATGACACACCCCGTGGTTTTTTGCCAATG